TTCCACTGCCTGCCAACTCTTTCACCCTGTCCGCGATACATGTGTTAGTATGTAATTAATGCATGACACGAAAGACAAACACAAACCCAAAGAAAATGTCTGATGATGTTTCTTTTTAAAAAAAAAATTAAATTGGAATATAAGAAATTGGATTTAACTCATGCGAGAAATTGCTTTATGTTTCGTTATTGTCCTTTAATTCTTGAGCAAACAGAACATAGCAGCACAAAGATTCAGACGTACCATATATTCTTATGCTAGCGTAGTGTATGCCAGGAACAATCTCTGATATCGCTGCAGTATATCAGTTTCCTCATTTGGAGTTGACAATTCTAGAGGCAGAAACTGACAGTTTGTTGATGGAGGTTGAACACTAGACAAGCTAGGTGAAAAGTAAGCATTGTTAGAGAATGAGTCTCCAAAGTAAGCATTGGCAGTTTGTGGTTGTCTCCGAATTCACATAAAGGGGTTAAGGAACAAATGCATTTTGCATTGTAGCAGGACAAAAATAGGCATGTAAGTAGAAATATGTTGTGCAGCCAGAACAACAGTTGAAGGGACAACTTTAAAAGGATCATCACCAAATGGATAATGAAACCCTGAATCAAGAACATATAACATGATTTTAGATGGCAACGAATTAACTAAAATATATATTGCAAGTCCACTAGAATCAAAGAAGAAAAAGTTCAGAGTAAATAAGAGGGAGACAGGAAAGATGAAATAGGGGAAAATTTTTAATAAGTCCCTCAATTAAAAGAATCATATTAGCATGGTTTCCAAATTTAAATGTCGGCTGATTAGTAACAAAGGTGGTCATAGCACTGGAGTTGGCACAGGCATCAAATTCAGTAGCATGGTTTTCAGGTGTAACTAGGACGATGGCAAATGAATCAGACCGAACATCCAGTAAGTCTATTTGAGCATCGGTTGAAGCAGAGGGAACAGCAATAGTTGGAGCAACTGTAATTGATGAGAAATAGAAAGATTAGTTCCAGTTATAGGGGATTAATGCAAAGGATTCAACCTTGGCCGTGTGCTGTAATTTTTTGTGAATACCACAACAACAATAACCATGAACTTGCTAGTTTCTAAATATAGTTTTTCTAGTTGGTAAAGGGGAAAGAAAGATAACCAGAAGAAAAGATAAATACCGGTGCTTTTCCATAAATTTTCAACACTGACCATGTGCCGGTTTGCAGATCAAATGTCCATACTGCCATAAGAATACAGAACAGTAGAATAAGAAAACAAGGGAAAGAAGCAGAAAAAATAGTTTCAAATTTTCAAATAGTTATAAGGGGAAAGAACGAGTACCCTAGATAGTTTCAGAAGGACCCTTTTTAAGGTCAACAATTGAAAGAACTTAATCAAATGTAACTGCAGAAAGACAACCAGTACGAATTCAAGAACTTTTAGCAAACAACTACAAGGAAGCGATAAAAATAATTTTTTTTTCAACATTCCATTTGTATAAAAACAATTTTGAAATGAACACAGACTTCACTCATGATATTTCTTCTAAAATCCAACAGATATGAAACAGAAACTCCTACCCATTTTCTCATAAAAATGTAAATGCAATTACTTATGTATGTAAGGCATCAAGTAATCTATTGAAAAACCAAGTTTCTTAATCAAATGTAAGCAGAGATTGTAACTTTTAAATTCCACAACTACTCCAAAATCATAACTTACGTCCCTAGTACCATTCTAACAGCAGCTAATGCAGTAGAAAATTCAATAAAGCATACACTAGTAAAGGGAGTTGGGAACTCACAATGGTACTTAATTCACTGAAATAAAAATTAGATTGACGAATAACAATACTAAGAAAGCATGTTAAATGAGAAGAAATCATAATCAAAGCATGATTACCATATAAAAGTAATATTAAGACATCCAATAACATATGTGGAGAGGCAGTGCATAACCAAAATTGCCAAAAATATTCTTACACAACATCAAATTCATCCCAGGTCAAGGTTTCTAGGTCAAGTATATGTAGATCATTCCAGAGCATTTGCTCTGCATCTTGTCCACCAAATATTGCTAAGATTGTTCCGACAAGGGTTACAAATTGACCACCGCGAGCCACCTGCAATACAGTCAAATTAGGGTGAAAAACTCATAACTCTTGGGAAAGAATTTTTCAGAAAAAATACTACCATAAAGAGGAAGAAAACTATATAAACACACATGCACTCGACCACATACGGATTGGAGCTCTTAAGATGTAAATGGAATTTAGTGGGTAAATTTTCTAAGCTACTTTTCCAAACTTATACAATTAAAACAGTCGAAGAATTACATGGCCCCCCATGATGCATCTGAAAAAACTATACCTCACACAGGTCTATGTTTTAAGCCTCTGCATATGCTAGTTCTTGCTTTTGCTGGACAGACAACAATTTCTCATTGTGGAGTGGTGATTCTAGTTCTTCCGTTTCTGCCTTGAGCATTGCTAGAGTGTTCTTGCCAGCTCCTCACCTTTGGATTTCTGCATACACTCTAAAGTGAAAGAAATAAACCCTACGAAACAAAAAATGAGAATCAGAACACATTAAATCTTCAATGTCAGATATATGAAACAGAAGCATTCAAGGACTTACACAGAGTATGTGTTTTGTATCAGAAGATTTCATGTTCAACCACAGATTTCCAATGAAGCTTAAATGGAATCGATACTGAATATTGCATACCACATATTTCGAGTCTCGAGTGTTTTCCTGGCCGGATCAGGCAAAGAAGCTACACTTTCTCGGCTAGTGGAATGTCTTCGAGGAAAATCTGGAAGTTAATAAAAACAAACAAACCATCAGTATGTCAGAACCATAACTAGCACTGTTTGTTTCCTAGTCAAAAGCATACCTAACATTTAATTTAGGTTTCATTTTGGTACCCGTCGTTAAAAACTTAACAGTGTTAATGTGTCACCACAAGGTAATGCCACATCATCATTAGAAAATAAAAAATATCATGTTAGCAGTTATGTTAATTTTTTTACGGTGATGTACTGAATTAAAACTTAAACTAAACATTAAATATACTCTAGGATTTCCTGCAAATGTATAACTAAACTAATGACTACTTTACACAATTCAATCTATTTATGTAACAACAGAACTAGAAGCTCAACGAGAAATAGAGAAATTTTCCAGTAAGATGTAACATTTACGACAAACTATTTACTTTATCAGACATTGTTGACAAAAGTTTCTATCCTATGAAAGAACATTTGAAAGGATATTCTCGACGATAATGGAATCAGACATTGTTTGAAACCTAGATTGCTGCATAATCACTCACCATTTGTTGAAGATTTTGCACCTATAAAAATCAAAGAAATCGTTATCAAACATTTATAATAAAGGAAATTAGAAACCCAAAGCAACTGATTACTGATTTACATCCATTAGAGAGTATTATCCGACAAGGTCAAATTAACAGTTCAAAATGAATCAAAATCGGCAGTGATTATGCCATCATGGTACAAGCATAAACATCATACTTTAAGAGCAGTTCTTTCATCTTATAAAGAAAAGGTTAGGAATTCAAAAAAAAACAGTCATATCAGCAGTGATTTGCTTTGACAAGTTAAAGGATTTAAGAAGTAAAGAAGCACCGAAAACAAAATTGTCACAAATGTTGTATGAAACAAGGAAATACAATTTAACCAAAAAACCAACTAAGATCAAACATCAAATAAAAAGCTATAGAAAAGCATTGGAAAAGCAATTAACAAATACAAAAATAACAAAAATTTACTTTGGCTTACTCATAAAGATATGACTTTGACAAAGACTTGATATTCTTCCCCATCATTATATCTATGCAATTAAACAATAAAAAGTAATCTATCACATTCACGAATAAATAGGAAGTTATACTAGGCATAAGGGAATAAAATACAGTGAAAAACAAAAAATAAGAGCAAGAGTCCTAGACATACAACAAGAAAAAGCACACTCAAACCAAATGATGTATACAAGATCATATTTTATCTGTTAAGGGTAGCAAGCGAGAAAAGCTACTAATGTGACCGAAAAAAAATTAAATGCCTATTTATTCTAATATTGAAAGAAATAAAACATCACTAAGTAAATCAACTTTATTGATTTCTCCCTTTCAGACCTGCATGGATCACAAACTGAACTTCAACAACCCAATCGCTGCAACAATCAAGAATATCCTAGTTCAATTTTTTTATAGAAAGGGAGTCCTCATGAAAAAAACCCTTTCATATCCATTGAAATATAAAATAGTATCTCAATGAACATTGGAAGGAGGAAAAGAGTGCTTCAATTTTATTATAAATCCAACAGAAAATACTACCAATACAAAGTCACTATGTTTGCCAATCCATGTTTATAGAGAGATTCAATATCATGTTAGCAGTTATGTTAAATTTTTTACGGTGATGTAATGAATTAAAACTTAAACTAAACATTAAATATAGTCTAGGATTTCCTGCAAATATATAACTAAACTAAATGCTGCTTTACACAATTCAATCTATTTATGTAACAATAGAACTAGAAGCTCAAAGAGAAAGAGAGAAATTTTTCAGTAAGAAGTAACATTTATGAAAAATTATTTACTTAATCAGACATTGTTGACAAAAGTTTCTATCTTATGAAAGAACATTTGAAAGGATATTCTTGGTGACAATGGAATCAGACATTGTTTGAAACCTAGATTGCTGCAAACAAAATTCCGTCAACACAAATAAAAAACCTAACAAAAGAGGGTCTAATTATAACTCACCATTTGTTGAAGAAGATTTTGCAACTATAAAAATCAAAGAATTTGTTATCAAACACTAGCAATAAAGGAAATTAGAAAACCAAAGCAACTAATTACTGATTTACATTCATTAGAGAGTATTATCCGACAAAGGCAATCTTAATAGTTCAAAATAAATCAAAATCAGCAATGATTATGCCATCATGGTACTAGCATAAACATCATACTTTAAAAATCAGTTCTTTCATCTATGACAAATTATTTACTTAATCAGACATTGTTGACAAAAGTTTCTATCTTATGAAAGAACATTTGAAAGGATATTCTTGGTGACAATGGAATCAGACATTGTTTGAAACCTAGATTGCTGCAAACAAAATTCCGTCAACACAAATAAAAAACCTAACAAAAGAGGGTCTAATTATAACTCACCATTTGTTGAAGAAGATTTTGCAGCTATAAAAATCAAAGAATTTGTTATCAAACACTTGCAATAAAGGAAATTAGAAAACCAAAGCAACTGATTACTGATTTACATTCATTAGAGAGTATTATCCGACAAAGGCAATCTTAATAGTTCAAAATAAATCAAAATCAGCAGTGATTATGCCATCATGGTACTAGCATAAACATCATACTTTAAAAATCAGTTCTTTCATCTTACAAAGAAAAGGTTAGGAACTTACAAAAACTGTCATATCAGCAATGTTTTGCTTGGACTCGTCCGAATTATGACCATCCTGAAAGAAAGTATAACAGTCAAAACCATCAAATATTGCTATGATTGTGAACACATTAAATCTTAAATGTCATATATATGAAATAGAAGCATTCAAGACATTGTGAGTATGTGTTCTGTATCAGAAGATTTTGAGTTCAACCACAGATTTCGAGTCTCGAATGTTCTCCTTTCCAGGATCACGCAAAGAAGCTACACTTTCTCAGTTAGTGGAATGTCTTCGAGGAAAATATGAAAAAAAAAATTATGAGAAAAAATCTGGAAGTTAATAAAAACAAACTAAGCATCAGTACGTCGGAACCATAACTGGCACTGTTTGTTTCCTAGGAAAATCTCTATTGCAACTCCTCTAACTATGATTCTTGCTAACTTCCTATTAGAACTCAATTCAATTTGAAACAGCTATCAAAACATGCAGTGGCCCCTTGGTTAGATGGGAAAACTACAATCTCATTCCATCCCAAAATCAAAATTTAAAACTTTAAGACCTTGTAACTCTCCTTGTTAAATGAAAAATTAGTAATTTTAGCCCCTTTAAAATTAACAACTCAAGGCAAGTCTTTTCAAATTTCAACAACTTGGTTAAATGGAAAAATTACATATTTAGACCCTCTCAAATTCAATCTACCCTCTCAAATGGAAAAATTAACTACACTCTTAGTAATGCAGAACTATTTTCACTTAAAAGTAATGCTAAACCATCGAAACATAAGAAAGCTTCGAACTGCAAATCTGGCCATCATATAAACTATTAGATATAGGTTCACATCACTATCTCAGAAAGAATCTTAGTCATATAGTCTAGGATTTCCTGCAAATGTATAACTAAACTAATGACTACTTTACACAATTCAATCTATTTATGTAACAATAGAACTAGAAGCTCAACAAGAAAGAGAGAGAATTTTCAGTAAGAAGTAACATTTACGACAAACTATTTACTTAATCAGATATTGTTGACAAAAGTTTCTATCTTATGAAAGAACATTTGAAAGGATATTCTTGGTGATATTGGAATCAGACATTGTTTGAAACCTAGATTGCTTCAAACAAAATTTCGTCAACACATAAAAAAATCTAACAAGAAAGGGTCCAATTATAACTCACAATTTGTTGAAGCAAATTTTGCACCTATAAAAAAAATCAAAGAAATCGTTATCAAACACTTATAATAAAGGAAATTAGAAAACCAAAGCAACTGATTACTGATTTAAATCCATCGGAGAGTATTATCCGACAAAGGCAATCTTAACAGTTCAAAATGAATCAAAATTGGCAGTGATGATGCCATCATGGTAATAGCATCAACATCATACTTTAAAAGCAGTTCTTTCATCTTACAAAGAAAAGGTTAGGAACTCACAAAAATAATCATACCAGCAGTGTTTTGCTTTGACTCATCCGAATTATGACCATCCTGAAAGAAAGTATAATCAAACACCAAATATTGCTAAGATTGTTCCGACAAAAATCTTAACACTAGCGCTACAAAAATGCCTGCAAACAAGAAATAAACCAAGGAAATAATTAATCAAGTCATATCTGTTAAAAGGAAAAATAGTCAATCAAAGTGAAATGATTTTGTACATTACTAAAACTCATAAAATAAGCAGCCAAAGTGTCAATAAATATCATCGCACCTAACATTTTGTGGTTTGTACTGAGCATTGATGATGAAGTCATTGGCTAAGAAAAACATCATAATCAAACAACACAGATCAAATGAGCTTACAACAATAAATAAGATCATATTCTACAGGCTCTGACTGACATTAAATGATTGGTAAACCATAATATTTCACTTACACATCTCCAGTTTCAAAATTCAAGATCTTGAATACTTCTTTAATAAGAAAACAAGAAATATTAAACAAGAGTTCAGGTCATAAAAACAGCATGCATTACACCTACCAACTAAAACCATATATCAAACATACCAAGAATTACAAAGTCACCATTGTCTAAGAAAAACCTCATAATCAAACAACATAGATCAAATGAGCTTACAAACCTGCCACGAAATATCAAGAAACTGAACATAGCCAGAGATAGAAACCAGACTTAGTTGTGGAAAATGAAAAAACTTTTGCCACCCATTTTGCTTGTAATTCCATCACTCTAAACACTTACTAGCCTCAGAAATACCCATTTTGCCTGATCGTGTCAAAGTCGATTTCTAGTTCAGAAATAGTTAATACCCTCGGAAATACTAGATTCAAGTGGAATACAAAGGTTTACCTGTGATGTAGTCCCACAAAAGAAAGCCAGGGGGATAGGCAAATACATGTTTATAGAGAAGTCCAACATGATATTCGTTCACATTAACTACTCCATTTGATTTGAGAAACGGGTAATGGTATTTGTACCTGCAAGAGATTCTTTCGCACCTCAAGGATTGAAAAAATGTATTTGAATCTAAAAGGACAAAATATTTCAGGAAATACCCAGTGCAATGAATAATGGCAACTGCATCAACAATTGATCCATCTAGGAATTCCACCTTACCATCTTTATGTGCTCATTCAATCTGCAAAAAATAAAAAAGGCAGACTATTAAGAAAAGATGACCACCTTAAAGGTTAACTTTATAAACTAACTTAATTGATAGAATGACAAAGAAGCCATTGAATGCTGGCAAAGATTATCATGTTTTTCCGATGATCACCACTACCTGTCGTCAAATCATTGTAGCAATTGTGTTGATTTGTATGGGTTGATGATACTGAAACTTCAAGAATCTGTTACTATTTTTGCCGAACCATGTAGAAGACTAACATGGTTCAAAATCAAATCATAATTCAAAACCCAAAAACAGATGCTCGTGAACCCCCCCTATAAATCACCAATAAGTGATGTTCTTGGCTTGGGAAAAAAACAGATGCTTGTGAAACCCCCTATAACAAAATCAAATCATAATATTTTTTTCAACCATGTTACAAACCCAAAAAGATTACTAAATAGTAAGCGTATGAATACCTCTTCTGATTGAAAAATCATCATGGATTTTATTATCTACTCCATCCGTAGGGTAAACGCTAAAGAAATTCAAAACTCAGAATTTGAATTTATCAACAGGGGAATGAGCAATGTACCTAGAGAAGTTATCAATCTTCCAAGTAAATCTTGATTTTCAACGGTATTTACAGTCCCGATTATCAAATTGAAGACGCAACAAAATCAAAAACTTGTTCCTGTGATGCCCACAAAAAACAAGAACAATATCTTGGGAACTTGCACTGAAATAATGTAATCAAGAAAAAGAAAAAGATAGAATGAGAGGGAACTTACCAAAAATAAGAAGAAATCTTTTTCTTGATTTTATAGAGAATCCGAAAGTTACCGTTACAAAGAAAAACGGTAATAACACTCTAGTTTCTGAAAATGAAGAAGAACACTAAATTAAAGAAAAAATAAGGGTAAATTACGTATTTAATACCTAAATTATTAATTTTAATCTGTTTTAATGCATCGGAACATAAATTTACCTTTGTAGACATTATAGAAAATAAATTAGTGCATTAAAATGAAGATACAAGTTAAGATCAAGGCTAGTTTGTGAAATTCCCGCTCCGATCAATTAGTGCATTATATTTTATTTACGTTTATATATTTAGATTTCGCATTTATTTCAATTTCAGCCGTTTGCATTGGAGCCTTTACATTTCACAATTAATTAATTTACACATTGTTTGCATTGTAAAATACAACTCGAATTGTTTGAACTTTTTAATAATTAGTAGATTGATTTTCAAGTTTAAGTCAAGGCTTGAGTTGAGTCCGTCGACTTTATATGACATATGTAAATCACATATGAAAAAAATACAAAAAATGTATATATGTATTGTATATGATTATAAAATATCATTTAAATTAAAATTAAACAATTTCATAGTATTATAAATATTTATAATTAAATTTAAATAGAAACTCGAAAATTTGACTCGACTCAAAATTTTTAAAACCAGCTCAACTCGAAAAAATTTCAAATCAAATCCGAGTTATAAAATAGGAATCAACAACTCGAATAACTCAATTTTTTTTTACTTAACTTAATCGAACGCTCACTCTTAAATACAGTCCTTACGGAACACATGAGAAAACATGCAAAGCTCTCTCGTCTCATCACTTGTCTACAAGGATTCCAAGCATACTCTGCATACCCTATCATCATCACCATTCTTCACTTGCTCATCTTCATGGCCATTGTATCTTTGGATGAAATTGAAAAAATTATGTATGATTTTGGAAAGAATTGAAAGTTTATGTACTAAAATTGATTAAAACTGATAGTTTTAAGTACTAAATTAGTAATTTACCCACTTATTATATTTAATGCTCATACTATTTTATGCATATTTCAGTTTTAATAAGCTTATATATTTTCTACCCTTCATTTTGTTTAATTTAACACGTTAATACATTTGTTTTTGTATCCTTTCATGTTTTAAATATTTTTCTCATTTTATGTTTTATTTTAAATTTATGGGTTAATTACATGGACGATCACTTATGTTTGTGTTTTATCTACTTTTGGTCACTAATTTCAAAAAGATAAGACAAGGTCACTTTCGATTTTATTTAATTAAAATGTGGTCACCCCGAGTTAACAATCGTTAACAACAGTTAAATATTTTGATATAATCACATATTTGGTCCTTGTTATTTACGTATTTTCTCAAATTAGTCATACTTTTAATAAATTAAAATAAATTTAATCCTCCAATCAAATGATGCCACATGTCATGCTAGTGTCATCATTCGGTTGGAGGACTAATTTTATTTTAATTTAATATATTTATTTTCACCAATCAAAAAATAACATATATCACCCTCTGGTTGAAAGAAAATAATGGAGAGCAAATTAGGGTAGAAAATATTTAAACCTTGGTCACTTAGGAAACTAAACATTTATCCAACTATTAAGCCAAGATATTGCTTGGTCTATAGAAAACAACATGGTGCATATATTTTGTATCTTAGTATATAAATACTTAAATTCATAACATTTAATATATATTAACTTAAAAATATTTTATATTAACTTATTAAATATATTTTATTATTAACTTAATTTAAAAATATTTTTTTTGGTTTTATGTAAAAAATATATTTTTTTGTTAAATTTTATTTAAAAGTATGATTAAATTGAGAGAATATATAAATAACAGGGATTAAATGTGTGATTATACCAACTATCATGTCACATATTCTATTAATTGTTAACATCGGTTAACCCTTGATAATCATATTTAATTAAATAAAAACGAAATGACTACAGCAAAATGAGTTTTTAGCGGCATTTTTAGTGGTGTTTTTTATCAAACGCCAGTAAATACCCGTACTTTAGTGGCGTTTTCATATAAATGCCACTAAATATTGTACTTTAGTGGTGTTTTTGTACAAACACCGCTAAAGACTCGCACTTAGTGGCGTTTTAAGCACAAACGCCACTAAATACTCATACTTTAGTGGCGTTTTTATATAAATGTCGTTAAATATTGTACTTTAGCGATGTTTGTATACAAATGCCGCCAAAGACTCGTATTTTAGTGGCGTTTTAATACAAACGCCGCTAAAGACTCGTACTTTAGTGGAATTTTTATACAAATATCGTTAAAGACTCGTACTTTAGTGGCGTTTTAATCATAAACGTCGCTAAATACTCGTATGTTAGTAGTCTTTCTCCTCAGGAGTGGGATCAGCTGCTACAGTTTAGAAATAATCTTTGGAGGCTGCATAGGATTGTTGAAAGTATTTGGTTTTAGAAATCAAGAATGAGATGGATCAAAGACAAGGATAGAAATACAAGATTCTTTCATCTTTGTGCTCTGAATAGAAATAAGATCAATGTCATTTTCTAGCTTGAAGATTAATGGGAGTGTAGTTTCAATTCTTCACATGAATAAGACCCATATTTCTAATTATTTCGGAACAACATATAATACCAACTCAACTATAAAAGTGGAGGATTTATGTAACATTCCAAATCAGAGTTAGTGACTAAAAAGTAATTTTTGGAAACTTTGTGCTCAATTTTGAAACAAGTTAAAAGTTCAATGACTTAAATGGAAAATTTCAATGTTATATTAAATGATAATTATGGAAAATTTTAAGGGTATAATAGTAATTTCATAAGAAAGATTTTTATTCCTCCTTTATATAGGAGATGGCATGTGGGAAAGGGAGAAAATAAAATAGAAAAGTCTGGAGACTTTGGTTCAACCTTCTTCTTATTCTCTTCACGTAAGCTCCATAGCAAAGGTAAGTTTAATTTCAACTGATTA